ATCTTTCGTGAAGATTGTGTCGATGAAACTCCTCTTCGAAAAAATCTTCCAAACGTTCAAGGACTGAAACATAGTCAACACGAGGGAGAGAGTCTATGAGGTGGAATTTACAGTCCGGACCGTCTATGCTGGCATAAGCTAAGGCCCAGTGATTTCCAAAATGAAGAGGGATAATCACTAAGTCATAATCAAAAAGATTTGTGTCCTTCACCCATTTCATCCCTTCGGAATATGCGGTTTCAAACCTCGAAGCACCTGACAATCGAATGAAGAAAAAGGATTTGAAAATGTACACAAAAGGAACACTACAAGAGTTTTCATGATCTCTTGTCACTTCTGTACATGCGGAATCAACCTTGATGTAGTCATTGGTGATCTGGAAGGCTAGCAAGTACAAATTGACGACTTCGTCATTTAACCATTTCCCATCCTTGGCGACGACCACGATGTCTTCCTTTCCCACCTTCCAGCTCCCCTTGTAATCGACAATGCCGTATGCTTCATTATCTTCGCTGCTGCCTATAATCATGTCAACATACTAATTTTCTTCTACGGTGAGGTGTTTTGTTACGAAAGGAATCTTGAATGAAGGGTCATGAACTGCATACAAACACACATATAAACAACAATGGAACGACTAAGACTTCATACAAAAACGAAGTTTTCGTTATGTGATGTTTGACGTGGACCCGAGTTCATGTTCTTGGTTGTCTATCTGTTTCGCTATCAGAGCTGTCATCCACAATAGATAAACTGCAACCTTCGCGATGCAATTTCTTCCCTTCTCTGAGGCTTATTCCAACAGCTTTAAACATCCTTAGGGCAACTGGCTTCATAGATGGAAATGTCATGGGTGTAAGTCTTCTTCTCTCTTTTTTTGGCAATAACGACAAAGTTGATAAGGCTTGCAAGCCACGACAAATGATATTCTTCTCACTTTGCCTTTGCGAACGTACGTGCGTCGTTTTCCACAGTTCTTTTCGTCGCCCTGCATGTTCATCAATATAAAACGACAATGATTGACAAGACAAAACATTATGAGTTTAAGTTCAATTTTCCACATAATTGCAAATAAGAGATACACAATATTCTACTTAATTTCTTCTCATCACCGAGTGTACGGTTGCAAGCCTAGGCAAACAATTAGTTTCTATGAGTGCATGTAATGTACCCCCTAATCCGCGTACAGTATTAGATATTCCCTTAGAGATAAGTACGTGCTCACCTCGGTGGTTGACTGACACTTTATCTTCAACACGACCTTCTATCGCATCATGCGATGACGTAAAAGGAGATTCGTCGATAGATATCACGAGGTTAGCAGATTGTTGTGCTTATGATTTTGCAAGCATAAGTTCAGGCTGTACAAGCGTATGTTGCTCCCGTGTACTGAGTACTATATGTCCTTCATCCTCTTCGATGGTCTGTGCATTGACAGTTTCCTTTGCACCTGCAGTCGCGCTTTCATTCTTCATGTCCAGAGAGACTTCATGCTCATCTTTCTCAACTGGCATATCCAACGATGGCATCTCTAATTCTGCAAGTGCACCAGTATTATCCACTTGCGTAGTAACCCTCTCGCTCGCCAACACAGTGGTCACCCAAACTTGGTCATCCGGAAGGACCTCCTCAACACATTTCGGCAGTTCTCCATGACTTACGCCCTTGACGCTTGCACCGCCGCTTGCTCCCAAATCCTTGCCACTTGCATCGCCTCTCGATCCCCTGCCATGTGCACCGCTACTTTGTCCTGATCCAAGAGGCGATCCCGATCCCTTGTCATGTGCACCGCCGCTTGGTCCTAGTTCCAGAGGCGAACCCGATCCCCTGCAATGTGCACTGCTGCTTTGTCCTGATCCCAGAGGCGATCCCGATCCCTTGTCATGTGCACCATCGCTTGGTCCTGATACCTTTCCCTCTGTTGCTTGACGCCCTTGACACATTTCGTGTTTTTGCAGTTCACCATGAGTTATTGGCTTTCCACTTGCACCAACGCTCGGTCCCAGGCCCTTGCCACTGGCACCGCCCCATGGTTCCGATCCCTTGCCAAGTTCACCACGGCTTGATCTTGTTCCCTTGCCACGCGCACCGCCGCCTGATCCTGATCCCTTGCCACTCGAATCGCCGCTCGCTCCTTTCCTTTCCCCAGCTTTGTCTTGAAGTTCCTTTTCGATACGCCAATTATATCCAAAAGTTGGACTTGTTTCTCGATCATATAACAATTCCAGATACTCAAGCCATCGAGATGTTTTGAACTCCTAAAAAAATTATTCTCTCCTTGCATCCAGTCTTGATTGAGAAACCTTCGGATTAAGTCGCAGCAATCGCTTGCCAATCTGATTTTTGGCGTGTGCGACAAACTTGGATTCTGACATACGTCTGTGGAGGCCTAATTGCCACTCCCCTTCTTCTTTGATAGCCATTACCCAGTTCCCTCTTGCCAATGCAAGTTGGAAGCGGTGGGGGTGCCATATAATGTGATGACCCCATACGTTGTCAGGCATCACCGTATAATCGTCTCGGCACACAATAGGTCCAGGAAGCTGTGCAATGTCCGGAGGGATCCTGTCTCCAATCTCGTACTCCAAAGATTCAGACGGGGGTTGTTGTGGAGTTTGAGAGCGTAGCAATTCCAAAACAACAGTCGGTCTTTGTTCAAGTGCTGACAGACTTACAATAATCTCTGGGGAGAGCATTGGTTGCACCCTCGGACTCGGGCCATGTGCGAGTGCTGACATACTTGCAATAACCTTTGGGGAGAGCATTGCCTGCACCCTCGGATCATCCCGAACTGCGCCGGAAGGTAGCGATGTTGTGTTGCCCGCCATGTGAGAAGGTGTAACTTGCACAAGAGAAGAAGTTGAGGGACGATTCGGTAACTGGTCCGTTGAAACTACCATACTTGAAGCCCCTTCAGAACCGGACGATGTGCCCGACGCACCCATCTTCTGCGAAGCCGAGCTACAAGCTTTTTGCCTCTCATCTGCCAAAGCCGCTTGCAAAGTACCATCTTCACTTTCTTCTTCTGAGTCCTCAACATCAAAGCCCTCCCCAAAACAAGTTGCATAAGCTGCGATTGTAAACGTCCCGATGTGTTCGCCGAAGTACATCATCTCCAAACGGTCTAGAAATGCAACTTCCGTCTCCGCCGGTGCCTTATGATACCCCCTTCAGAAGTGATTCAATTTTTCGCCTTCTGACGACATATGCACGTTCCCCTCTGTTTTGTGGCTTCGTCTCGAAAAGGAACTCCCAAATGCTGACGATGTTTTGGCCGACTTTGTAGACGAGATCACGCCCTTCATCATGTCGAGGAGGCGGCTTAATAAATTTGGCGTAGTAACCTCCAGTCATGACCATCCTGTTGACGAATTGAACGAGAAACTCGAACTTCATACCCTCCCCCTCCAGAACAATGCAATGATGGAGACTCTTTAACAACTCCCAAATCAACGCCGCATGACCTTTTCTCAGAAAAACAATCGCCTCATCCGCAGGACAAAAATGCTCCAATGTCTCCACCATCGCATTTGGCTCCCTTTCCATACCTTCGTACACAGATTTCTCCTTTGGCTCCATACCTGCCATTTTCAACTTCGTGGGCGTGAAGTTCTTCTCCACGACATCAGTCAACATGTTTGACTTTCTCTCTCTGCGCACAAGTGCTGATAAGTCACCCGCCTGCTCGCCAGATGATCGATCTGTAGCTGGAGTGCTTGCTGGAATGTCTTCAAGCAAGGGAATAGTGTTGTGGTGATAATCCCCATCGTTGGAGTACATGATGACAGTCATTCTGTCGGTGTCCTCCAAAGGCAAGTTCGCAACCTTATGTGAATGCTTCGCCTTCGTTTGTTGCTGACGAGTCCACTTTAGAAGAGACAAGTGAATGTCCCAACGTGTCACTCGGTTGAAAAATGTAAACTTGTAAGACCGCGGAACGAAGCACAATAATGTCCAATAATCACCAGCCAGTTTTCCCATGAACTTCCATAGACCATCAAAGACTTCTTCAGTCCACATACCCATCTGGGTTGGGTGACACAAATCCAGCACGGCCGTGTGGCAACTCAAATGTTTGACGACTCTATACATTTCTTTGGAATCCATCTCTTCCGAAATATCGCTTGGTTCTCATTCAAACGGGACGAAAACAGAGTCCACGTTCTGTTTTTGGAAATGTATATATTTCGTCGTGCCCGACATTCTTATGCTTTGCGAACCCCTGGTTTCTAATTTGCGCAGCAGCTTATTGACAAATTGCACGAACTCTTCGGGGCACTTCGCAACAAGTGATGTTGTTTTCTTGAATCCCTCTTCTCCTTTTTCCTCCTCTCCTCCAAGTGTAGCCGGGAACGTTCGCACCCAATTCATGTCTTTGAAATAGTGACGTTGGTCGATCCACCTCTCAGACGTCAATCCTTGATTACGGTACTTATCAAACACATCGGAAAGGTTCTCGAAGAATGGTTCCGTCCACTCTGACGACTTCCTGTGAGGGTCAGAAATGAAGATGAAGTAGTGAAACATCCTCAACATTGCTCTTTCAATCTTTACCATTTCCACGTATGTCTCCGTTGAATGTTTTCCGGCACGTTGAGCAACTCCACTTTGCTTAGGAGTCAGTATTACATTGCCTGTGAGAATGTTTCGCAACAGTTGAAGCCGCTCACGCCTCCCAAGCGCTGAAAAAGGTTTCCAAGCTCTGATATCCGGATCGTGCACAGCCACGAGGTAACCGGGTCCTTTGGTTCCCTGAACCCAATCTACCGGAAGCCTAACTTCACCTTTCAACTCAAATCCGGGTCCAGCCCTCGGTGCCGTCCCTGATTCACCTTGTTTGGTAGCAGGCTTCACAGCATCTCTCCCCGGCAATTGTCCAGCTTCCCAAGCGGCGTACTCTTGTTTCACCTTTTCGAAAACGTCATCTGTCGCCCTTGCCAATAACATGTAGGGCCCCAGGGCATCAGACCACTGGCCGCTCCATTGAGTAGTAAGGGAAATGTCAACCAAATAATTTATCCCGGTCAAACGAAGAGCCTCTCCTGCAAACTTTTTATAATCTGCATTTTTCACTTCCGCCGCAGAGCCACCTTTAGCTTCAGCACAGTTCGATGCGTGCCACAACTTCCGTATGTTCTAGAAGACCACGATCTGGTACGGTGGGGTATTCCATTTGTCCTTTGCGTTCTGGAAAGTGCTCAGCGTGCTGTAATTGTCCATGCTCTTATCCCGATAATAAACAGGCCTCGTAGTCCAGCGATCCAATCGGAGCTCTTGTGCGATGTCAGGGTGTTCAACAAAACACCTTCTTGCCGCCGCTACGTTATGCTGATCGCTAAGAGGGTAGTAGTAGTACTTGTTCACAGAGCCGAGGTCGAATTCATGGGGCAGCACCCTCCTCGCTCTCACAATCCTCCCTGAAGCGTGAGTATGCATTGTATCATGGATGGCAACCCACAAAAGGACATGTTTTTCATACAATGTACAAACATTTACACCGGCAACTCCAGTCGTTCTCTCTCTGATAGCAGCCTCACCCGATGCAACTATTGCATCATAAATGTCATCAATCATCTGTTGCACAAGATAACTTTGATTGTATCTGAATTCCACGTCGGGGATATCCAGAATTCTGTCGAACTTGACAGAAATGAATTCCATGTCTGGACACTGGTTCCCATGCTCGTCCAACTCAAGGAGAAAGCCTTTGCTGAGAACACCAGAAGAAGCATCCGATGGCACATTTCGCGAACTTGGCGGCCTAGTAACTGTCTTGCCTGCAGCCTCTTCATCCGATTGGGGTTGTTTCGCAGGAAAAACGGAAGTCTTTTCCATGACACCACCCTTTGCCGTTTTTTTCTTTGGCTGCTTCTTTTTCTTCGTGGCCGCCTCAATCTCCCGTGTGCGCTGGACCGCCTCATCCACGGGCAATAGTTTCAATTGTCTTTTCTGACCCGCTTCCTGCTTACTCCGTTTACTATCCAAAACACTTCTCCTCTCCTGCCTGTGCTTCCTCTTTCGCTCGGCGAGCCCTGCAGCATCTGTATGCACAGTCACAGCCACTGTCTCGTGGTCCACCCCCCCTCGTGTTGGATGCACATCCTCCTCACATCCTTCCTCGCTGCCGCCATATCCCCCTGCCAGACCAACCTCTCCACCCAATTCGCTGATAATGTGCTCAGTGTCGTCATCCTGTCCAACCACTTTACTTTTTCCCCCATAGCGCCTCGTCATGTCACCGACACCCACCGCATACTGTTCCTGTCCTCCTGCTCGTTCCAAATATTCCTCGCTGTTCTCGTCATCATTATCTTCAAAATATTCAAGGGCTTCCTCTGCGCGGCTTGGCACAGTGTAGTCGCAGCGCTGCTGGCCCACCAAGGAGAGAGGTCCCTTGGTGGCTGCTGCATAGCGCGGTTGGCTACCCAAGGCAATTGGTGCTTTGCTTGCCGTTGGCCTGGACTTCACAGGGGCTGACGGCACGACCAGTCCGTGGTACGGACCCTTCTCTCCAATCTGCCCAGCTTTCGGAGCCGGCGGTGTGTCGTGGATCGTGATGGAAGGCCCAGTCTCCACGGTTTTGGAAAGCACGCATTTAGGCTCCGATATGCGGTTTTCCGGATGCACAACCGGCTCTCCGCCCGCGATCACATTACTGTCGAAAAACCCGAGGACATCTATGAGGTCAGACAACTTCACTTCCGTACTCGGTGGTGTGTTGAATACATCAACGAGCGACTTCCCATATCCTGCGTGTTTGGCCCATCGAAGAGTGACGTGTTTAACATTCGACATCCTTTCCCCTCTTCCATTCAGGACCATCGTCAACTCGAACATTGCAGATGGTGCACCTTGTCCAGTCCACCTCACCAGGCCACCTACCGACACAGTATTTTCTTTTATGACCACGTATAGAACAAGGCCGCTCGATGGTTCTCCGATCTCCCCCACCCAGTCCAGCATCCAGAACTTGTCCTTGTGATTAACCACGGGCACATCGTCCCGYCGACCCGCGGCAGTCGTTTCACCAGACGGTTTACGTCCGGGCACAGCGTCCACTGCAGATCTTCCCTGCCGCGGACCAGGCACACGTTCCTGACCCGCAGGCCCCCCAGTCATCAACACAGCCTTATCCGGTCCAGAGCCCCGAGCACGAGTCGACGGAGTGTCTGTGGAAGGTGCAACCCTCGGAACTGAAGTGCSTGTAGAAGGCCCACTCCGTGGAACTGGAGTGCCTGTGGAAGGCGCAACCCGCGGAAACAGGGTGCGTTGGCGCTTAGTCCCCGGTGTCTCTGGACTCCCCCCTCCAGCGGTCGGCGTCCCCTTCAATTTTTTCGGAGATTGTTCCATGCTCCCAGAACTCTTACTTGATCGTCGCTTACTTGMCTTCCCCTCTCGTTCCATGTTTTGCAGCGTTGTCGAATCTGAAAGCAACACAGCACACCACCGCAAAGCCAAATATCAGAAGGTCGCCCAACATTGGCATGGCACGACGAGTARAAAAGTGAAATGTTTTAGATAGTGGTAAGGCAGCCCCGGAGATAGAGTTCGAACCGATCGCGATCATGCTCGCCTGGACTCGACCGTGTTGGACGCGATCGTGTTCGTGTTCGACTTGATCGTGTTCGACTTGATCGTGATGGGTCAGCTCGATCGTGTTCGACTCGATCGTGGTGGGCCAGTGTGACCCACAAGATTGCGATCGTGCTCGTGACCCAGAGGCGTGCTCGCAGCTCGATCGAGTTCGACTCGAACGTGGTGGGCCAGCGCGGCCCTTGAGGCCAGCTCGATCGTGTTCGACTCGATCGTTGCTGGCCATCGTGACAGAGAACGGGAGCAGCGTATCCAAGAGCAGGCAAACAGAACACGGGAGCGGCATATCCAATGAGTCACATCAAACAAGGCACATCAATCGAGGCAGCCGACTATCGACCGATGCACCGCTATCAATTCAGAATTCAAAGCCTACATCCATTCTCAATTCCAAGCATTCAATTGGCAACGCATGCAATCGGCACCCACAACGAGTGATACACAGTCTCAAAGCATGTAATCGGCATCGACAATCTCACATCAAACATACTGCTCCAATAACATACATAGTCTCAGTTCACACTCTTGCTGAATAGCTCACATTTCTTAGTCTCAGTTCACACTCTTGTTGAAAAGCTCACATTTCTTACATTGTTCATCCCCCATGACCTCTCCCACGACCTCGTCTATCGTTTAGCCCCGAAACCGTACAGTGTGTCCAGGGATGAACCGTATGTCAGGAGTTGGGGACTAGACAGGGTAGCAGTGGCGGAGAAGCGAGACTCGTATCTCGCTCGGACGAAACCACATGTTCTAGCTAAAGTGTGACCGATGGTGTCTCGAATGACCGTCACGTACTCCTCGACCTCCTCCCAATGCTGGGGTGCGTCAACCTGCCCCGCCAATTTCACGTCAAACTTACCGTTCCTATAACCATGCAGTAATAAAATCGTGTCCCCGTCAACCTCCGCTGAAGTCTTACTTCTATTTCTTACCGAAACACACAGAACCGTAGGGAAAGGGAAACGATAGAGTTTAACATGCACGCAGAAGTACGACACACTCCCCGTCAAGTTGTCCTCGAAGGGAAGGGGATATTTCTCTAGAAACTGGTTGTATTTCGCACAGTCAACTCCTCCTTCATCGATGGTCCCCACAAGCGTGGCGAACACGACACGTTGTGCGCAATCAACGATAAGGAAAAGCCTCGGGTACGAAACGTTGTACACAACCTCGGCGTGTGTTTCGTCATGAGGATGTGGTCGAGGAAGATGAATGTCCCCCATTCCTGACTGGAGGCAAGTCGATAATCAGATGCCCATGGGCAGTCTTTCATGGTGTTCTCCCAGTTTAACTCGGACCATGCATGGAAAGGCCTGTCAAGCCAGGGCACAACGTGCATCCAAGGGTCCGATTCGAAGTCATCTCTTCGAGCCCCAAGTATACTAGTCGCCTCCCTTGAACCCCGCATGTACAGAGCGCTAGCATTGAAAGGGAAAGAGTAATCGAACCAGTGAGCCATCGTGAATGTTCGACACACACAGGCGATTGACGACCACAATAAACACTCAGGGAACGAGAGAGCCATTGCTAAGGTCGAACCAATGTCGCGCACACAACAAGGAGCCATCACAGTTGCGAATGCCGTGCACACAACAAGGAGCCATCGCAGTTACACACAACAAGGAGCCATGCAAATGTCCAATACACAAGGAGAAAACACACAGAACGACAAGCGAGGCAAACTCGAATGCCATCATCGTGTTCGTCTCGACAAAGGCCATCGGCGCCTATCCATCGTCGAGTCCGAATCGACGACGGCCAAGGCCAAACGACCGTCATCGAGCTCGAATCGACAACAGTCCAGCGTCAAGACATATGGCTAGAAGGCCGTCGTCGAGTTGGACTCGACGGTGGCCAGACAGCCGTCGTCGAGTTGCACTCGACAGTGGCCTCACGGCCTTCGTCGAGTCGAACTCGACAGTGGCCGGAGGCCGTCGTCGAGTCGGCCGTCGTCGAGTTGGACTCGACAGTG